ACTCATAATCTAAGCACATATTGTATTATGTTGGAAGTAGGAGTTCTGTTAAATTGCTTTTCTATTCTTTTGCTTCAAAATACTGCAAAATTTTGTACTATTCAGTGTCTGTCAGCTGAGCATTCAAAGACTAGTTTGCCTAAATACACTTTTTATAACAATAAGCCTAGCTCAGAATGATATTTTTTGTTGAGAAAATGTACTCCTCGGCTACTGCAAAACCTGAAGCAAAGCAAAACAAATGTCCCCTCCCCATCCCATATCATAATGCATATTATCCAAGGTTGACAAATTTGTTTTGGCATATGAGTCATTAGTACTACTAGTCTCTATTGTGTATGTATGTGCCTTCAAGTTGCCTGTCAGCTTATGGTGATCCCATGAATTTCACAGGGTTTTCTAAGGCAAGAAATACTCAGAGGTGATTTTGCTGCTTCTTTCCCCTGAAATACAGCCTACAGCACCTGACAATCATTACCTGTCTTCCATCCAAGTACAACCAGTGCTGACCATGCTTGGCTTCCAAGATCAGATGGGGTTTGGTGCCTTTAGGGTATTTAGGGTCTCTCACTACTCCTGTCAGTAAAAATACAATTGATTGGTTTTCCGTGGCTGAGGTTTCCATAGCTAAGCAGATATGAACCCTCGTCTCCAGAGTCATTTTTCAGTGCTCAAACCACTACACCCTGTTGGCTCTTGAACAGAGCACATATGACAACAAAGAGCTACTGCCACCTAAGGTAGTGTCCAATGGTAGAGCTGGCCTTGTGAAAACAAGTTCAGAAAGAACAGGAAAGCTTAAGGTCCAGCAGATGGCATCAATATCCTTGCTTTAAGATAGGGGTGCATCTGCACTGTTGAAATAACACACTTTGATGCCACTTTAACTACTATGGCTCTATCCTACAGAATCCTGGGATTTGTAGTTTGGTGAGCCACCAGCATTCTTTGACAGAGCAGGCAAAAAATACCTTAAAAAAACAACTCCCAGAATTCCATAGGATGGAACTACAGCACTTAAAGTGGTGTCAACTTACATTATTTCTACAGTGTAGATCAGGGGTAGGCAACCTTTTTGAGCCAGGAGCTGGGTTGCTGTCCCTCAGACAATTGGGGGGCCGAAGAACCAGAAATAAATAAATAAATAAATAAATAAATAAAAAATAAACAAATATGCATGCACACTCTCTCAGCCCCAAAAAAGCCATGGCAAAACTCCTGTGGAGATTTTGCCAAGAAAACCCCAAGAACAAGTAATAACAATAATATCATCATGGCGGGGGGGGGGGGCGGCGGCGGCAGGAACGGCCTTGGGCCAGTCCAAAGGCCTCGGAGGGCCGCATCCGGCCCCCGGGCCTTAGGTTGCCTACCCCTGGTGTAGATGAACCCTATGTCTCAGTGATTTTTCTCTATGGATCCCTCATTCTGTTTTGCTACTGATTGTGGTTTACTATTGTTTTGAATTGTTCTGTGTGATACACAGGCACTGGAAGGATGGGATATACATTTGTAGACTGATAGATGTAATCTGAATCCAGGGACAGAATGTTATTTCCCCAACATTCATGCTAGACTCTTTCTTTGTCCTTATGCCATATTTGATGTCGAGATATAGCTGTTTCACATGTCTCAGAAAGATGTTAAATCAACAGTGATGAGCTTGATGGGCTGGGAATTAGGCATTGTAATTTCACAGTAAAAAGTTTAATCTTTCCAGGCAGAATGACCAAGATTTACGTACAAGGCCCACCCACATTGCATACTGGGGATGGTGGTGGTGTATATTACACTTTTTAGGGGGTGGAGAGTTGCCATTGTGTTAACTGCACAGTCAGTTCTCCTTTGGAGATGCCAGTTTTCAAAAAATTGTGCCTCTATGTGAACATTGCTCAGCTGTTCACCTGGCAGCCTCCAGCCTCTTCTAGTTAGCTCATGTGGGAGCGAATGTAGGTGTGAACAACCCACTGGTAATGAAACAATGTTAATATCATGTAACACAAAGGAATCTGTATTCTAGTCATGCAACTAGAGACTTGGAGGTATTTCAGGCTTTATACTTACAGTACTACTGTCTCTCAAAAACAGTAGATTTTTGATCCAGCCCGCTTCAAATCGTAAGCCCTGGTAGATCCAGCCCGCTTCAAATCGTAAGCCCTGGTATAC